TTCCCTACATCGAGAAGTACAATTCGGACAACCTTTGGTGGCCTGATCAACATCTCTGTCACCGTCTACCCACAAACCCTAAATTGCTTAAAACATAAAAAAACCCAGGTGGATTCCAAAGTCAAAGGTCGGCAAGCAGAACAAGAGCGCCTACGAAGAACCGCTTTCAAGAAGTAATTAGCACTAATTCGTTTACCTTTCTTACTAATAGAGGCGCTGCAACGCTCAATCGAAGAATTCGCAACAATCGAGACACGAGCCCTCTCACAGTTGCTCTCCGCCTTGTTCGACGAAACCCTAACTCCGCCACAACCCTCAGATCCCATAAGCTTCGCCGGCACCACAACATCCACGAGACAAGACAACTCCACAGCATCCATCAGAACTTCGATAACCCTAAAACGGCGACATATCGACGGCAAAAGAAGCGATAAGTAGGCATCTCTGCAACTAGAAAGAGGGTTTCCTTTCGAAAGCCGATCGAGCTAAGGGAAGCTGGTTATGGTTGCTAATCGGGAGAAATTCGTGGGAAAACTGGAGGGAAAGTTGGAGCAAGAGTGGGAAAATTTAAGGGGTTTGGATCGCAGAAAACGCATGTTGCGGCTGTGGAGATCGTGGGATTTTTCTAGGGCAAGAAAATGAAGGAAAATGAAGAGTATATATAGTTTTCGGGAAATAACATGGTGTGTTCGGAGATAAGCCACCAGCTGTGGGATGTTCCAGTGAGGTCGTCTGTACCAAAAGGTCATCAAATGCCTCTTCGTTGTCGGTGAGTTGACTGACGTGGCGAAGTCTTAGTCGTTAGATTTCGAGACGGACGATCCAGAGCGTTCGATGTAGAAGGATCTCAATGATAGAAATTTGTATGAAATTCCAGAAATGCCACTGGGGGGTTCAGGTGTTGAGCGTGTCGGAAGCAGACACCCGAGTATTGTTTTACCGAAATGCCCCTTATCCGAAATAACGCCTTTAGATCTTGCGTCAAATCTAATGTTGCCATAAATATCCGAATCTTCCCATCACAAATATTTTCTAAAAAAAATAACAAAAATGAAAATATTTTTTTTTTAAATGAAAATATTTTTTAACAGGGACAGATTAAATTCCTTATCCTAAAAAATGCAGATTTATAAAATTACTCCATAAAAATCTTCCACTATGATAATCATATCTACTTTGGTCCCGACAACATATTGTCGCCGATACGTAAAGGTTAAACCGATTCTAATGGACAAATTTATCGAACGACAGAAATTTGCGTATCATAATTAATTTGGAAAATTATCTCTCCAATATTCTTATAAATCAATAAATGCGCATATTGCTCGAAAGGAGAATGGGCTTAGATGGTAATTGGGCCGCGAATTATCGCCCTAAAATCATAACTATTTAAATTACATGCAATGGTTTGTATTTGTAATTTAATATTCATCTTATTGGAACTACAATTGATCCACGATATAAACATAATGTCTAGTGTAATTATTATGCATTAGATATAATGAGAGTAACTTGGCGATAAATAAAAATTATAAATTATCTACTAAAAATAATAAAATATGACATATTCAAATATATGAGTAATGTGTACGGGACGAATATTATTTTTTCATTGATGTTGATGACATTGACCGGTCCAAGCAGAACCTCACAAAATCAAGATGATTTCAAAGTTTTTGTAATATAAATTAATCCAATGTATTGAATCAAGACCCTTAGATATTTATGTCATAAGCAAAAATATAAAGGGAAAGGAAACTAACATTTGGTTGATCAAAGTCAAATCCCGGCCAGGCCCTCACCCTTCGCACGTGCCGCGCGAGCGTGCGTGCGTTCGTTCTCTTGCTTCTTCTTTCCCGCCCCCAAAAGGGGAATATTACTCAAATAACCCACTTGGGTCGCAGCAATTTCAGTGTACACCACCGAAAAAAAAAAAAATTTGCGACCTTATTACGACTAATATATAACTAATATACAACTTATTACGACTAATAAACTATTCTTATTTTAGTTGTATATTAGTTATATATTAGTCGTAATAAGGTCGCAAATTTTTTTTTTTTTCGGTGGTGTACCCTGAAATTGCTGCGACCACTTTATTAGGGTTAAAACCCCCCAAGTCGTTTCTCTCTCTAGGGTTCCGTCTCAGTTGAGCAATCTCTCTCTACCGTTCGGCGTGCTCTGTTTAAAGTGGTGATCAGAGGAGACTAACCGGAGAACCCTCAGTGTTCCGTCGCCGGAAAACTTGTCTCTTCCGGTGCCGAACTCATTTGTGCCGTTCGTTGTTTCGATTGTGGTCCTGGAACTGGAAGCTCCCATTAAGATCCGTGGTATTAGTGATGAACGAATCTGAGCATGATCTCGTACCTTTAAGCCTTTTTCTTGCTGATTATTCTCGATTTTCTCTTGAAACTTTTTGAATTGGAGGGTACATTTTAGCTCTGTCGATGTGTTTGATTGATGAGTTTGGAAGAATTCGTGAGGATGGGAAAAGTTAAGACCAGAATTGGCAAGAATGAGTCTTGGCTGGTGACAGTGGAGCCGAACTCATGAAACTATCTTATTCCACTGGAAAGGCTGGAGCCGTCGAGTATGGGACGGTGGATTGCTGAATCACTCTTTGAGAAGACAGCCATATAACTCCGGATTCCCTGTTCCATGCTATTCCTGTCTTTGCCTCCCTTTCTCTTACAGAGTGAAAAGGAACGAGTCATGAGTTAGGGTTTGGTTTTTTCAATGGGACTTGCACTGAGTTAAACACTGTGGTGTCGTATTGGACATCAACGAAAGCTCATTGTTGTGAGAGGTAGGTGTTTCTGCCGTTTGCCCATTACTGATCTTACATTATGCCATATAATACCTCATATGTAAGGAAACCATAGTATTAATGATGTTTCAGAACCCAGTGATCTTACAAGAACCAGAAAAAAACAAATAAACCCCTAAAAAGCTTTCACTGTGTATGTTGCCCTTCACATCTGATCATTGCCTGAATTCTCCCATTTGTTGACACGATTGCTTATGAACTGATCTGTCCCGTTGAACACAATGTTCTCTTGTGTCCAGTGTGGCTCGAAATAAGCCGGTCCCTGTATTGGTACCGAGCCATACTGAACCTCTTGGTCAATGCAGATCCCGGGAAAGAAGTTGTAGCCATTGCAGCATCTTAACATCATCAGGGCTTTAACTGGATCTACAGTCACTTGATCATGGGGATTCGAAAAGGGCAAGCCGACATGTCCGAGAGTAGACCAAGGAACCACCGGTTGCTGCTCCAAGACACTGACAAACCTCTGGGCCTTGTCGATATTCTCATCGATATTGCCCAGAATTCTACAGAGCTCCTCTTGAGAACACCCTCTGAGCTTCTCGTCCCATGTACAGTATTTGATCTTTGGAGGAGTCTTCTTCTCCATGTTCTTGGATCTTTCCGACAAGACATCATGTATTTGGCAAGATTTCCTGCAGCTGTTCGGACCGGTGTCTATGTACTTGTTGATGATTGCCCGGACGCTGTTCTTGTCCGCCGGCCACGTCTCGGGCTCTGCCTCGGCCGCCGTCCTGTCGGGGCCGGAGATGAGGAGACATGTCTCTACACCGCAGAGAGTGGAGAACTCATCGGCTTTCTTCAAGAGGCATGCCTTTCTCTTCTTGTATGTCGTTACCCTTTTCTTCTCGTTTGCTATTCTCTCCATTTTCAGCATCTTCCTACCCATCCTTCCCGGAAGAAGAAGAAGAAGAAAACTCGGAAAATTTCGATGAATGTGATTTTATCATAAGAAGCGAAATATAGTTTCGATGAATGTGAACACATATGGTGTTCTTACCATGTATGTATCCTCTCCTTAATTAATGGCAAAAAATCTGATATTATTTCCATATTAAATCAATTTACAATAAATTTTGAGAATATTCTTTAAAGTGCGGGCTTTCCCCTCCATTTGTCACCAATTAATCAGGCCACGAATCTTGGTCATATACATATATACACATATATATATATATATACCCTCCTTAAAAAATGGAGAAAAAAAATGATATTATTTCCATATTGAATTAATTTAAATTAAGGCTTGAGAAGATTCCTTCAAAACAGTCTTTCCCCTGAATTTGTCATCAATTAATCAGGCTATGAATCTTGGTCATACTATGACTATATATATATATATATATATATATCACATGTGGGAGATATACAATTATATATATAACATATATGAATCCTGGTCACAGAACACCAACATCACATGGCACAATCATCTGTAAGCATGGTTTGTACACTTAGATCACTATTACTTTGGAGTGGATCCACATTGATTAACTAATTAATTAATCAAATTAAAAGTTGGTTAATTAGTAATATATACATGCAGGGAATGAGGAATTAATTAATGATGAAATTCAGACACCGTGGATAGGAACTGAAGCTGTCGGAGAAGAGGGCTGAGAGTCTCCATGAGCTTCTCGCAAGGGTGATTGTGAATCCCTTCGTAAGTTGTCACCACAATGCTCGGGTCTTTTACCAATCTCTGCACTTGCTTCTTCACGTTGCATGTGTGGTACGTGCATCTATAATAACTCCTGTATTTATATATACATATATATATATATATATATATATTTCATGTATAATTTGATTATCAATATATGAGGTTTTATATCCTTTAATTAAACCTTAATTAATTCCCATAATTTTCTTCACGTTTTTTTTTTGGAAAATATTATGTCATGTATATATCTATGTGATTATTACAAATTCACATTACTTAGCAGCTAAACTAAATTTATTTTATTAATTTGCTACACGCACACACAACATAATGAACTTTTTTTTTCTTTTAATTCTACAAATATATGACGAAAAAAATTGTGTCAAATTTATATATAGTTTCAGCCTCTTCTATATTTCCATCGTCCTTCTTATAACCCATCTATCTATAGTTTCATGCATGTGATTCATTCGAGTCTCTCTCTCTACACACACACACATATATATATATATAAGTGTATATGTATGTGTAAAGATACCTGGGATGAACATTATTCTTGACAGATTTCTGGCCATATTTTCGCCATCTATAACCATCGTCAAGAACATCGTCGACACTCCTCGTATGAAACGCGATCCTCGGCGTCGCTGCCGACCTCTTCCCTTTCCCTTTGTTAATCTTCACACCCTCTCCTCTGCCTCCGCCTCCTCCATTATCCGGCAAGTTCTCCGGTGAGAAAGAAGAAGACGCCCCGGCAGTTTCTCCGGAAAACGAAGCCGTCATCAATAAGGGCGGCGACGACGACATGAATGGGTTGTCTAGGGCTAACATTGGGTCTCCACCTTCCATAACCTGTACGTAAATATGCTCTGTGACTGTGTATATGTATATGTGTATGTATATGCGAAAGAGACGGAGAAAACTACAAAAAATGTAGAATTTGTAGGGGAGCTGAAGAGGAAGGAATATATATATATATATGGAGAGGGTCTCTAAGCCAACTACGTTTCACCTAACTTTCTGTTCAACTGCCTTATTTCCCTTTTAATTCCTTGTGCCATTAGACTTTTATTTACCCCCACAAAATTCATCTCTCCTTTTTCTCACAAATTTTCTCCATATATACCAAAAATGTTTTCAATGGACATTGGATCTGTAAAAAAAAATATATCTCGGTGTGTATATGTATGTATGTATGTGTACATATATATCTTGGAAATTAAATATATCTTTATTATATTTTGTTTATAGTAATAATAATAAATAACATAATAATTTCTTATGCAAAATTTATCCAATGTATCTCACAAACATTTTTTGTATACGTAAATGTAAATAAATTTATAGTCAAATGTCTGGTTGATAGTTCTTGCCATTGCCTTGCCTGTAATCCAAGGGAATGTATGTTTACGAATGCTAAACTCATTGCATTTGGTAGAACGGAATCATCAGTAATAAACTATTTTCACCAAATATCATGTAAGATCAGTATGTAATGTATATATGCGAAACATATATATATATATATATATATATATATATATATGTAATTTATATGTTCTCTACGTTATTTAGAAGGTATATAGTAATACTTCAATAAGAATTATTATCCTAATGGTGTATGCATGTACTTGTGGATATTGTTAACTGAACGGAGTTAGACGATCTTACATTCAACTTTTATCTACGTTAGCAATAATCCGTATCGTATGATGTCACTAATTATACGATTAATCATACCACATATTTTTGCAATATTATTGTTAATTAAGAGAGTCCACTTAATCTATTCAAAGCGAGTAATACGTAATTAGTGAGTCTTGATTATATTAACCTCTCGTGCGTGAATGGTTATTTAATCTTGAAACTGATTAGTGGCTTGATGATGGGTAAACGGCTAATCGACTTTTGTTTCAAATGATTTTTTGGTGGGGTAGTTTGGAATCTCCTTTCATCGCCCTTCACGTATTACCCATCCAAAAGGCAAAAGGTATTATTATTTAACCCTTTTGTTAAAACCCATGCACGTGGAAGCTTCCGACCAACCTATAATTGTGTTTATATATATATATATATATATATATATATATATATATTAATTGCATATGGATCCTTACACATAGGTTACTCTTCATACATTCACATAGTATATATGCGGACCTCACTCTACATATATTTGTCGGATATACATACTCTCATTCCTTCTAGTCTATACATATATATATATATATACGTATTAATATTATTATGGCTCACCCAAGATATGTACACATGCATTCTATATCATATTTTTTTAGGATATGGTCATACATATCGCAAATGTTATATCTTGATATTAAACAAGATATAGCATATGCATTACGGATACACATGTATCGGACCAATAGTGAACAATAACAAAATCACACGTTATTGCGTTAGAAGAAATTTTAGAGTCCAATTCGAATATCACTGCAGAGAAAGGTTAATCCTTTTAACTCTCTTAGAATGTAACTTTATAAAATAGATTACAATCAAATCAAAATTTGACAAATGAAAGCAGATGACATCCTTATACAAAATACGGAGCAATGATTTAGAACAGAACCTGTCCTAATCTTCAGCTTCGTTACAAAATTGTGTTCAGCTCTTTCTCGATGCGAGCCATACCCTCTTCCCTTCGACAACAAACTTCCCGCTTCTCTCCATCTGCAATAACCAGAGGAAAAAAAACAGTACACGACAGTAAAAAAATCGGTTATACTGCAAGTTTCTATACGTAAAAGGGTGAAAAAATGAAAAACAATTTACTGCAGTGAATCCAAACATAAATACATGACTCTGGGTAAGCTTAGAATATACATTACCTTGCGTTTCAAGTAAGCGATAGCATCTTTTCTAGAAGAAAACTCTGAAAGAATCGCTGGTGCATGTTCGTCTATAAGAGATTTAAGTTGTTTAAGCTTCACAGACCCACCAGGTTCCTGCAAGTAATACCGAGTCTATATAAAGAATATGCGTTAATCTTAATGAATAACTAATAGTATAGATAACGATCACTCACCTTGCGAAGGAGCCGTTTGCACAGGCTCTTTAGCTTGATTTTTGGCTCAATGGAATTCTCTAAACCAAAGGCATCATCATGCTTCCGTTTCGCCACAGAGTTTTCAATAACAGAGTTGTCCTCTTCCTCTTCCTCTCCCTCTTCCTCTTCCTCTTCCTCTTCTTCATCTTCACTGCTATCTAACGATGTCTTCTTCCCCTGGAAACGGACACCCGCTATTTTCTTCGGAAGGCCTTTGATACCCAGACCCTGTTTTCCTGCTGTGGATTTATCCTGCAGAAAAATAATGGGTGAAAAAAAAAACATCAGCCTAACCTATTGTCTGACAACTGTTTGCAAGGAAAGGAATAGATAAGAAAGACTCATACCTGGACCAAATTGTAAAGATTCTCTTGATCCTCCTCACAGAACATCTTCCTCTCACCTGAGCATTTAACTTCTCCATTCTTTGATTTCTTTCTGGCAGATGCAGCTCCTAGAAGACCACCTGAGACAAACCCATACCTATATCCCCACCAGTCCTGAGATGGCTCTTCGATTTGCTGTTCTGTTCGGTTACAAAGATACAAATGTTATCAACTGTGCAGTGGTAAACATAAACAGAGATGAGGGTATCCAAACTTCAATAGATGTTACCTTCAACGGTAACATCTTGGCTCTCAGTTACCACTTCAATCTCTATCGAAACTGCAACATCAGGAATAGTAGGAGATGGCTCCTCGGTACGCTTAACCTATAATGGAACCAACCATCAGTGCTTATTAAGCAGTGCTGAAGGGTTCAGAATAACCCAAGTAGAATCCGGATATAAGAGGACTAAGTATCACACTATTAATATGGATTTAAGAAAAGCTATAGCATGCAGAAGGACATGACATAGCGTACAGAAAACCAACGTTCACAAAAGAGACCAACAGAATGTCGATGTCATCAATGGTACCGAAAAACCAAGACTATCATGAACTGGTATCACTAACTGGAATCTGAACTTACCAGTATACCTTCCAAATCGGTTGAAGAGTAGGAATGGACAAGCTTTCCCTTCTCTCTCCGCTTATATCTAAACCAAGAAAAAAAAAACCTCAATCGCCAAGCAATCATGGATCTAATAGAGAGAAGAAAAGAAAAAACATATCTAACAACCTTCCTTGTGGGCGAGTAACTTTTGCAACGGGCTTGGACTTAACAGGCTCGTCGTCACTTTCAGCTTCCTTCTCTGCAGCTGTTGGGAGCCAAAGAAAAAAAATCTTCGAGACTTGCTTGCAATGTCATAAAACAAGAAATAAAAGAGCTAAAAGAAGTAGCTTTGTCTTTACCATCAGCATTGGTAGTCGCTGCTTGCTGCAAAATTAACAGAAATAGAAAGAAGTCCATCTGTTGTTAGGATCAACAGTGTGCGAGATGGGAAAATTTGAAAATTGAGAAGAAACCACAGCGTACCACTTTCAATTTCTTGAGAATGTTATCAAACTGAGTTGTATCAAACGCCCAGGGATTTGGCTTGTCCACACCAACACCTGCTCTCAATTTCAGACTTCAGAGCTCAGAATTACAAGAAAAGCTGAAATGTATATGGATAACTAAACCACCATATAACATGCATACAAACAAGGAACCCACACACCCAAGTGGCCTCGTTTCAACTTTCTCACCTGAATCCTATGGCTCGGATCTGATGAATTGAAAAGTTTACCGGTACATATTTGCAATCATATACGCATATACATACGAAAGTTTACAAGTGTACCAATAACTAAATGCGCCATACATGAATCAAAGTTTATATATATGTGCCCAAAGTAGCAGACTTGATTTCTCTTCTTAATCTTACAACTAAAACAACATCATTCGAAGACTCCGATCCAGCGCCAGTATAACGCTAGCAAACTATACGCTTATACGCATAGGTCTCAAGTAGCTCCAGTTTAGTTTCCTTCGTCTCAAAACCACAATTGACCCACCAAATTCAAACATCCCATCCGGACATTCAAATTCATATAACCCGTATATATATTCGAACAATTGCAGAAATCCAGATAGAAGTACATGGGCCAAGAAGCTTCACTCCAATTTTACAAAAAGAAAAAGGAAGTCTCCTTCTAGTTACCTAATTTCATTTCAAATGTCAAATGGAAGGACGAAAATTTACATAACAACTGCTAGAAAACTAATCAACACAGTGATCGAGATTGATATATATATAGAGAGAGATAAGAAACCAACCAGTAGTGTCCTGCTTGTTTTTCACTCTAACGTAACCTTTGATCCCTTGTTTATCCTTCCCCAGACCTTCTCCTTCTTCCCAACCCTAAAATCATCATCCGACAGATCTGCATAACCTATACATACACAAAAACACGCCGAGATCGTGCGGAAAAGTACTTACCATCTGTTTCATCAGCCGGAAAGCAGCGGATTCCCTCTGGATTCCGACATATAGAACCGGAGCTTCTGGAGCGGCCATCTTCTCTTCTGATTTTCCAACGAATCGCGTCGCCGACGATCCGCCGACGGTGCTTTGAAACTCAGAGCGGTTGGGAAGAAGAGAGAAGACGGAAGAGAAAGAGGGAACGAAGCTAAAACAAGAAAAACCTAAAGCGGCAGAGAGAAATTATTCTCTGTTTCTCGGCCTTGTGGAGTTAGGTGGAGATCTTATTTTCAACGGTGGAGATTCATTCGTAGCTTGATGGGTTGGATTTCTTGGTTCTCTTCAAAAATAAACTGGGCTTTGTACCGGTGAAGAAATAGCCCATGTGATATTCACATACATATATTATTTCGTATAAATTTTATAAAATATGTAATGCTCTCACCAAAATTTGTATATATATTTTTGGAGTTAAGTTTAGAATCAGAATTTTAATAATTTTTGTTAGTTGTTTCGTAATATTTGTCATCTACAATTAGTGTATAATATACCAATTACCAAAAGCATAATTGAAACTTTGGAAATAAATGGACCAATAAAAGATGAATCAAATAAACAAAACATGGGCCGTGCCAGAAAGCCCAGAACTATAAAATAACCCAACCGACAAATTAACTGGAATATATCCCCTATTAGCCCCCAAAGAATTACAAAATTGGAATTATGACCCCAACTAATTATAAACTTTACAGAACCGGCGCGGAACTTTTCCCGGCTTGGTCCAAGGCGTCCAGAATCTCCGCGCGGCTCCTCACAATCCTATGGAATACTTCCCTTATCTGCTGCTGCAGCGGAACAAGCTCCTCATCCATTCTCCGGCATATCTCCGCCATCTCCGCTACCATTTCCTCTGGCGCCTCCGCCGGAAACTGAAACCCTTCGGCGAACTCCATCAGAGAGTGACCCAATTTCTCCATCCTCGTCATCTCCTCCATTAGCCCTGCAGATCCTTTCTTCTCCTTCTTCTTCCACTCGTCCCCGATCTTTTCATGGATCAAGATCATGCTCTGTGCCCAGTTTAGGTGCTTCGGCACCGGCAAATGGCTCATGAGCCCGTTCCTCTCCTGGCATGGGACCGCCGCCGTCAAAACCCACATCACGAGCACAGTCACCGTGCTCATTATGAAAACCGGCTGCGACAGCCCCGACGATTCGTTGCCCCGCGGTTCGCCGTCATAGCGTGGATCTGCTTCGCCGCCGACCAGGTCCGACCCACCGCCCACGACGACGACCGGAGTTGACCCACGGCGGCTCCTCCGCCTTTGTTCGCCGCCGCCGCTGTTCTCCTTGTCCTCGAGGCTTATCGCGGTGATGAGATTCGCCAAAGCGCGCTTCGCTCTCCTTACGTTGCCATCTCCGAGCGGTCGCTGCTCCAAGGCGGAGACGGCGATCTCGGCGAGTCTCTGGTAGTGTCTGACGGCGTCGATGCCGTTGACGACGGCGGTGCAGATGTCGAGGGACTTAACCGATCGATCCAGCATCTCAGGAACCAACCTGTCCAAAGGCGGTTTAAAAATCTGGGTCGGGTCACGACCCATGAGCAGAATTGCTTTGAACTCGGCCTCGCAACAGAGGAAGACATCCATGAGCTTCCGAAGCCACGACACGGACAGAATCTGCTCCGGCGCCGCCATGTTGGCCTCGTCCGCCGACAGAGGCGGAGGAGGAGGAGACAAGAGCTCGGAGAACCGGTCGGCGATGTGTCTCTGGAAAATCTCGAGATCTTCTTGATCTTGTTCGTTGTTGACGTCGACGACTTGATTCCGGCGAATGCTGATCCGACCAAGGAACGAGCCCTGGTTATCCTGCGCGGGTCTCATGTTTTTTTTTTTTCCGCCGGTGAGAATCTTTTCTGCTTCTTCTTCAGAACGGATCCGTCAATAATGGTGAAATGACGTGATTATGTGAATGAAAATAAGAGGAGGAGGAAGATTGGGAAGGTTTGGAAATGGCGGATTTATATACAGAGACGAAGAATTTGTGGTGCGCATGTCTTCTCGGGAGCATGAGACCCGTTCCTGGTTCGTGCTACGTTGTGTTTTCCTTTTATTATTAATTTCCCATTTTATCCCTGCTCTTGTGTTATTATTGTTACAATTATGGTAATCTTACATGGCAGATGCCACTGTGCTTATAGGCACTGAAATTATTATTTTCATTCATAATTAGATGCCTAATGCTAATAAGAAACCGATATGAAGTTCCTATTTTCATTTTCAGAAACCCGATCATATATATATATTATGTAAATTGATTGTTTTCCCGTAAACAAAATTATAGAATCATAAGTATATTATTAATACCCTCTCTAAATACCATATAACTATTTTAATTAAAAATTCCGAAATGGGCCTTACCGAAAATTAAAATGGGCTTTATGGACTGTAGTATTCGGTAGTAATTGATGGGTTTTTACCCGTAATTCCCTTTTCGCCTCTATCATAGTTGGGCCGTTCAGCCCACCATCATACGATCCCTAACTGCATGCCGTTTTTCTCTTAGTTCAGCGTCTCATCATATCGACTGCTCACCGTTTAGTGATACTGTTTTGTAATGCCGTGTCGTTCAGCGAAACTTGCTCTACTTTTTTTTTCCTCTTCCCAGAGTATACATTACTTTTTTTTTTTTGGTAAACGGTAAACTTATAAATTACTTTTTATACACAGATGAATATTCTTCCGATAATAATTTGTTTTACCAAAAGTATAATTTAAATAAGAAATATGTATTTTGAAATTACTCTCCTTCCATAACACATTTTTTTTCCCAATATTTCTCTATTATGACAATGATAGCTACCAAGAGATCAACCGAGATTATATATTGAGCCCTATTTTGAAGTATAGAAAATGGTATTTTCCATCTCAATCAATCATGAGACTGATCCAATGGGGAGAGATATCATATGGGGTTTCTTTCATGATTTTTTATAATGTATAGTTTTAAATTACATATTGTGCGATAACCAAGCAAGCTTTTGAGTTTTACCATATTAGAACTTCTTTCTAGCAAAATATTATATTTTAACAATTGTGATAAGAATTTCTATAAGAGGAAACAAGGGTCCATACGAATGATTCATCCAGAGAGAGAGAGAGAGAGAGAGATAGAGAGAGAGAGAGATAGAGAGAGAGGGGTAATAATCAAGATACGTTTATCACTACTACGAGAACCATGCGGAACATGTTATTGTCATTCGAATATCCTTAAGCATTCCTAAACTGGTTTTAAAAACGCTTAGAGTATTTGTTTATTAATTATAAATCTTAATTATAGAGAGAGAACGTGACTGTATATATAAACAGAAACACTTAATAATTATGGTAGAGAGAGATATCTCAATCTATTTGATTATTGTCAGCTCAACCAACGATGTCCTTGAAAGGCAAATTCTTATGTTAGTGAACATAGTTGCTTAATTAGCACCACTAATCACCTCATTTATATAAATCTCTTTTGACAAACATCGCCTTCGTTTTTTTCCCCTTTTTTAAAATTTAAAAAAAAAATTAAGCTTGTGTGGGCCCCCACTGTCATTCCATTGCTCCTCCTTAAAGCTAAGCACATAATGATTTCAATGATAGAAAATCACAATTGGGGTTATTAATTTATTATTACACATCATTAATCATAAGGGGGGGGGAGCAGAACGATGATTAATGATATGTGTGTATATATATATATATATTGTCAAACATTAATTCTAATATGACCGAATCACGATCACCGGCCGTAAGATGATTTGTACGTACTGTATGATAATATTGGGTTCGTCTCAATTACTCTGAGGGAGATTAAAATATAATCAAATATATAATTCTAAAACTCACATTTTAGCATATTTTATTGTTTGGAATTTACAATTATTCTTAAGAAGAAGAAGAAAAGAGCTCGGAAGCATAAACGTTTGCGATGCATAGAAGCAAAAGTCACATTTACATGCGATCATATTCACATCAATGTTCGGTAGTTGATTTGCGCCAATCCAACGGCCCCACTTCGTCCTCATATTCATATACGTACGTCGCATTTTCGCCATATCACACACACACACACATATATATATACACACACATATATACATATATATTTATATGTATGTATGTGCATAAATGTGCATGGCCACACTAACTATGTATATCCCTTTAACCTCAAGGATTAAAGCAGACCTATATTGGGTGTCGATTCGTACTCAGAGACGTGCTTATATATGTGTACGATACATTGGGTACGTCGATCAATACCTCATGAATATTAGCATCAATTACAAACCGATTAAATTTTGTTTCATGGATATATCTAAACCTTTTTTTTATTCATAGTTTGGATTCATATGATACATGAATTAGATTTGATTTGGCGTTATTAGGATCTTTTTTTTTTTGTTACCCTTTTAGATCTTATTTTATTTCATCGTACATGAAACGAACAATTGTTTCGAGATCAATATTCTTTTTTACGACTGTGAAGTTCATTTACAAGTTGCTCTCCTGATAGGCTTTCATCATATGGATAGTTCCGGTATACGATGAAATGACATCCTCAATATCACAAAATATACATTATATAAATTTATATACGTGTGTTTATATATATGTATATTTGCATATGTACGTATTCGCAACCGTGTATATATACGTACGTGCACACCGACAAACATGTATAAATACCTTGAGCAACAATTCTCCGGTCCTCATGTTAGTTATGTAGTCAGGATACTATTTTAGGACATATTAAAAGAGCGTCTAGATGATGACGTATCCTTTTTTAGCATCTCAAAGCAACGGATTGTGTGTGTGCGTGTACATATATACATACATACATATATGTAGTTTATAGGTATTAAGCGAGAATTCTAAAGCAAGCGATTTCATTTCTCGATATGTCTCCTAACTAAATGGAAGACTAATACTTGCAGTTATTATCATTATATATTTGAAAAAGCTTCATATTTTTGGACGTACAATAACCAATAGAGAAAGAAGAAAATGTTGACTTCTCCTTTGTAATAATAATTTCAGTTTGAAAACTTTTTATGTTTCTTTCAATGCACACTAGTCACATAGAATAAACATGTTTTTATATATGTTCTATGCTCCTATTCAAACATTTACTGATCTCTTTGTTTAGTTACTGCCAGACAAAAGAATCCTTGATGATGGGTTTACTCCGATTTTGTCAATTGTTACTTTGTCACATTTTCTTGCCTTCGTATAACACAATATGTACTTCATAGAATTCATTAGTATTTGATTAAAAAAACATGGGTTGATTCCTATAAGATAGCCATAGTTTATTAACGATGGCCTAGTGGTGAGATAACATGCAAAGTATACTCTTATCCTGGATTCAAACCCAAGCGTGGGGATGAACATTCACCTGGGTTTTTCCGATCTTCTGGGAGACGTAGTCGGGCCAAATGTCTGGTGAACTTCCGGATTATCCAAAAAAAAAAATATCACAAATGAACCCTAACAATTGTGTGTGTATATATATATGTGTGTGTATGAGTTTTTTTGTAACGCATGGGCATGGGTACAATTTTTTCATAATTAAGAATAAAATATGGGTTTTAATTCCGGTTCAATTACTGTACAAGATTCAGTAATTTAATTAATATATCAGTTTCTGAAATCATACCCCCGCATATACGTGTAGTGTAGAGAGAGAGAATATGAGGAACAACCGGCAAAGCTTCTGCAGGAGAAAGAAGGGTCCGTAAACAAAATGTTAACAAAGTGCTAACGTGATACTACAGTTACTACTAACCAATATATATATATATATATATATATATAAATAAACTTTCTACGTACATTATAATAATAATAATAAAACACAACATGAAACACGAACCGATGAGATGTCGTTTTAGGGTTAGATCAAGGAAGAAATATCTCGGGCCCCACCCGTGGAGCCGACCGCGGGTTTCGTTTTGTCGGCCCATTTGATCCCGCCTTTATACTTCTCCGCTCTCCAGGTACATTAACTCCACCAAAAAAAAAACCCAAACAACACAAGAACCCTAATAAAGAGGGATTCTATTCTCACTGATTAAGATATTAATTATTGTGAATAATTAGTTAATTACTTAATTAGGTTACTTAATTGATTACAAAAAAATGGGTCATCACTCTTGCTGCAACCAGCAGAAGGTGAAGAGAGGGCTGTGGTCTCCGGAGGAAGATGAGAAGCTCATTAGGTATATCACTACTCATGGCTATGGGTGTTGGAGTGAAGTCCCTGAGAAAGCAGGTCCTTGAATCTTTCATCTCTCTGTCTGATTATCAATGTCTATGTGTGTGTGTGTGTATATATATATATATATATATACATACAACCACATGTATATGCATGCATGTGTTTTTGTTTAGTTTGAAGTTTTCTCGATTTAGGGCTCCAAAGATGCGGAAAGAGTTGCAGGTTGAGATGGATTAATTATCTGCGACCCGACATAAGAAGAGGGAGGTTCACTCCCGAGGAAGAGAAGCTGATCATTAGCCTTCATGGAGTTGTGGGGAACAGGTTCATTTTCATTACCCTAATTAACGATCATACACATACATACATACATACATATATACACATCACGCATGCCGACGTGTGAATTAGCATCTGAAAAAGATGATTTTCATGGATTAATTTCTTGTATTATATATAGTACATGGTTATGAAAAAGAATATATATAGACACTAAAAATTCATCTACGGTAAATGATGCACACTCGCATGTAAAAGTGTTTTATGTCTTAATTTTCCATCCTTTCTAAGTAACAATCTTAAAATATATATATATATATACGCACTTTACTAAAAAACAATCTTAAAATATATATAGACTCCTATAGGATCTTGACGTGTATTTTCATTCACCTCCTGTCTATATTTGTCTACTTGTTCCTCCTACTAGTAGTAGTGCACTTCAAGATACTTTTTTTCTTTCTTTCTTAGCATTTTCAAAACGCGATTACATATATATATATATATATATATATATATATAAATATGCATCTATATAAGAATATATGATTCTCATTTTTTATTTTGAATGATTGTAATCAATACATTGTTTCAAATCATCACTCATACAAAATGTTATTTTTAGGTGGGCTCACATTGCAACCCATTTGCCTGGAAGAACTGATAACGAGATTAAAAACTATTGGAATTCATGGATCAAGAAAAAGATACGAAAGCCGCATCATCATCATCATCATGTTCCTCAGTCATCCATCGCGGTCACAAACACGATCTCCACTACCTCCTCTCCTGCTACCGTTGCTGTCACGACCGCGGCCACGACGACATCGAGTGTAGACTACCTACATTTCGGCGATTTCATGAAATCTCGCGATCTTCTAAACCCGGGAAACAATCAAGAAGTTATGACCGTAAAAACATCACATCATCATCAAGAAACCATATTCTCTCATCCTCAACCCCCTCTCTTCACGGTGGACGCAACGCTCCCGATCCTAGAAGGTATGTTCTCTATCACTAACAATGAAAAGAACTCGGATCACGAAACACGAGGAGGAAAAGGAGCCGAGGATCGAGGAGTTACCTCCAACGATATATGGAATCTCAATCAACCTCATCAAGAACAGTTCCAAGTTCCGACAATAACACCAAACCACTTCAATGATCCATCGTTATGCAACTCAAGCTACAACATACCGGCGGCTTTGGTAGAGGGCAATGTGGATAATATTGTCCCGTCGACCGGTAACAATAGCAATGTTCAAGATGGGGATTTGACGGTGTTCGAATGCCTGAAAAGGCAAGAACTGATGAGCTACGATGTTCAGTGGATAGATCATTCTTCGCAACAATGTCCGAACTTTCTATTTTGGGACAACCTTAACATCAACGTGGAAGGATCTTCTTCTCTTCTTGGGGACACGGATCACTCCGTGCTGTCTTCGTCCTTTCCTTCGTCGTTTTAAGTTAACGTCTATTTCCATGATAGAGAAACACAGTATATATCATCCATCTTTCTTTCTAATTGTTTCCTTTATTTCATTTTGGAGTTTGGTTTTGGGTTTTTTTTTTTGGTGATGAAGAGTGTTGAGATTTTTTTTCAGGAGGAAATGTTTGTGAATATGTACTTAACTCCTGTTATTGATGTAACGGGATTTTCCTTGTTTTTCTTTTTGGGGTTTGCCGAAAAAAATAATATCGATGGTGATGTAATAAAAGGGAAAAAAAATATAGGGAGCAAGCAAGGTTGATGATGAAGGTGAAGTTCATTAATACGGCGTCGTATTCCATGCATTTGTTATTTCGTTGGTGTGTTGGATAATAATAATAATAATAATAATAATAATAATATACGTAGAAACGGTCTATGATTCATGAATCAAATAACGCGAATAATATATGATTAAGCTTGACGTGGGCCAAAATAAAAAAAAAATAAAGTTATGGTTGGGCCTATTACTAGGCCCACTGTAGTAATCCCAAACCACTAAATAAACTTGCTATAAGAACCGACGCTTCTCTAAAATTAGGGTTTCTCTCCGGTTTTGCGATAAGATTAGCCAAGAGAAGCTCACAGGAGCCTGCACGTCTCCGTCGCCTCCTCTAGCGATCTCGCAGCAACCATGGTAAATGTCTCCTCTGCTCTTCTGTTTGCATATGGCATTCTCCTTGGATTTGGGGAAAATTCGATAGAAAATTCGAGTTCGGTGTTTCTTACTCTCTGCCTCGTGCCTTTTCTCGTACTTCCAGATTATTTCAGAGAAGAACCGGCGCGAGATCTCCAAATACCTCTTCAAAGGTACCGCATTCTGTTAGGATCTTCTTCGCTTTGATACTTATTTGTCTACCTACGTATATGCATATTCTGAACTGCTGTTTATGTCCTATTATTGCACATTAGTTGTGTGATCAGTCAGATTACGCGATTTCAGTGTATATGTATTCTATCTATGTGTGCACACGCAAATTAGATGCGGCTATCAAGTTGGTTTAGTTATCAAGGACAATGCCGTTCGTGATTCAGTATAATGACTTGTGCTTGTGGTTGATTTTGACAGAGGGTGTATTGTTTGCCAAGAAGGACTACAATTTGCAGCAACATCCCTTGGTCGAGGGTGTTCCGAATCTTCAGGTGATAAAGTTGATGCAGAGTTTCAAGTCCAAGGAATATGTGCGTGAGACTTTCGCATGGATGCACTACTACTGGTACCTCACCAACGAAGGCATTACCTTCCTCAGGACTTACCTCAATCTCCCATCTGAGATTGTTCCTGCCACCTTGAAGAAGCAGCAAAAACCGGCTGGCAGACCCATGGGTGCCCCCCCTGGTGACCGCCCCCGGTAATTATCTGCTCCCTCTTGAATTGTTATCCGGATTTCTGTTTTCGATGCACAAAAGATTCTAGTGCATACTACCCTTTGTTTGCATCTTAGTTGGGGACTCGGGGGTCTAAAAGTTTACTGCTTTTGCTTTCTAGTAAAAGTTTGTCCCCGCCTTAACTCATGAGATGTCTGTATATTCCTCTTCAGAAGGAGCTTATCTTCCTTTATGAGTTTGCTCTGCTGAAATGCATGTTGCCTAGTTAATTGCAGAATATAAATGGGTTGACGATATGGATTTTATCTCTTTAATTTCTTTTTCAGTGGTCCGCCTCGCTTTGAGGGTGAGAGGAGATTCGGCGACAGGGATGGTTACCGTGGAGGTCCCAGGTCCGGCGGAGATTTCGGTGACAAGGGTGGAGCTCCTGCTGACTACCAACCTTCTTTCAGGGTAATGTCTATCTTCCTTATCTTCCGCCAACTTAACATCGCATGTTTTTTCTAGGGCTCTTGAGTTGTTACGGATTAACATTTCTATGTAATAATACTAAGTTCCGTTAGTTCGGTCAGTATATTACTTGGGTTGAAAGTTGTCTCTTATCTCTGGATTTCTATGCATTGCCTCTCCTCTATGACCATCTGTCCTTTATGAAACGAGTTTCGTGTTTGCAGCGACATAAACATCGGCCTTAACAGTTCTTGATTCATGTTTTACCTTATCAGTATATATAAAATTAACCTTCGTGTCTGAATCTTTTGGATGAATAAAATGCAGGGACCGGGAGCTAGGCCAGGATTCGGCCGTGGAGCTGGTGGCTATGGTGCTGGTCCGGCCACAGGATCTGGTCTTCCTTGAAGAACAAAAAAAAAACAATACCCTTTTTTTTGTCTCAAGTTATTAATTGCAGCTCTGTAGTAGCAGTTCAATTCTCATTGTTTTTGACTATAGTTTGATTGATATTGGATTTTGTTGAAATCATCTTCTTCTTTGATCTCATAAAGTTTACCACTTTTGAATTTATGAGAATATTAGCTGTTAAAATAATGTTAATACTGTCATTAACTTCATGTTTTCAACGAAAAAGTTAGAACTTTTTAAATTGCTTTAATTTTCGGGTATATGTGCGGACTGCGGATATATACGCCCATTATATTAATTTAATAATTTTGTAATTGGTGTAGATATTTGTTGTATTGCCCCATTTGGATTTTAGGTACCGTAAAAAATGTGCGTTTAGCTACAATAGCCTTTAGGCCTAACAAAGCCTCTGTTTCTACTGGAGTGTTCATTGGTGCTCTTTCCGTTTTTCTTCCGCCCGTGGGAGCGAGCGACTGTTGCGAGATTCTATTTTGTCCATTTCGGTGGCGATGGAGAATTCAGACGGCGAAGAAGTTTCCGACATGACTACGATCTCTCAGCATGTTTTCTCCGTCGACGGCGACTCGGAACCTGCCTTCTCAGTCTCTATCATCGAGGTATTGATCTCAATCTCTTGAGTTTCTCGTCACCGGAACTATGGCGACTGATCTCGAATTCATCGACGCATTCGCTGTCTCTTTGTCCTGTTTTATCGTTTGTAGAACATGAAGGAAGAATACGGGCTGTTTGTTTGGCCGTGTAGCATTATCCTCGCGGAGTATGTTTGGCAGCAGAGATCGCGATTTCAGGGTTCTAGTGTTCTCGAGGTAGAGACTCAGAATTGAGATTAGCGATTCGCACAAAGCTTATCGAATACATCAAATTGCTAAGAATCACAGTACTTTGCATGTTTCAAACCCTCAAGATCACTGGTGATTTTTGCTGTTGGTTTGCTTCTTAACAACGTCATTAGTTGTATTTTTTTTCCTGTGTCTGAGCTAATGTGTATACATCAGACATGATATATGTCCTCTTAGTTGACCTTACTATTTGATTAGAAAAATATAATGTTCGTATTTGTTGTAATCCGATAATGCTATTGATGTTGATGCAAATTTTGGTGGTGGGTTTGCAGCTTGGTGCTGGCACTTCCTTGCCTGGCTTAATAGCCGCAAAGGTTGGGGCAAATGTCACGCTGACCGATGACTCGAGCAGACCAGAGGTGAATTACGTTTGTATGTTGGGAAGTTTCCGTGTTTTGGTTCAAGAATTGTGATTCCAATGGTTATTCTGTCTATACATTTGCAGGTTCTGGAGAATATGAGAAGAGTGTGTAAGCTGAATGACCTGAACTGCAATGTAAACTCTTCTCATCTTTCTACTTTACCACACCTGTATTATTAGTTATTGGACTCGTCAGCTGAGATCGTTATTTGTCTGTGCACTAACTGTGATGTACCTTTGAGATATGACCGGCTTGTCTAAGAGTGTGTAATGGGATCAATTCTCTTTGCCATTTTCTTTGTCTCCCGTCTCATTCCTTATCTGAAACTTCTGAAAGTAAGCTTTTTATCAATTAATTGAGTATAATTTGCAGATTATGGGTCTGACGTGGGGAATCTGGGATGCACCGATATTTGACTTGCGTCCAGGCATTATACTAGGGGCTGATGTGTTGTATGATTCAAGCGGTAAATTCATTATCTTCTCTTAGCTTCTATCGTGTTTATTATCATTAGCATGGGTCAATTGTGAATTGAACCTATGTTCTGTGTAGCATTTGATGATCTCTTTGCTACCGTGGCATTTCTGCTCCACAGTTCTCCAGATTCAGTTTTCATCACCACCTATCACAATAGGAGGTATGAACTTCTTGTTCTTTCATCATCGTGGCAGTGTAGTGCCTATGCTATACTGGCGATACCTGCTATCTCATTTGTCTTTGCTTTTCATGGGAGCAATTCGCAGTGGGCATCATCTTATCGAGTTCCTGATGGTTAAATGGGGCCTAAAGTGCGTTAAACTTCTAGATGGCTTCTCGTTCTTGCCACCTCACAAGTTATCCGCACTTGGCGGAAACATTCAGTTGGCAGAAATCGTATCAGGTTCTAAATCAGATGCTTAGGGCCTGATCAAACATGTTGATGGAACAGTAGTAAACCACTCGTCTGAGGTATATATAACATTCATTCTTTTATAAGATAATCCCTAGTCCTGTACTTTAGACGTGATCAAGCATGAATATACAGGGGAATATGGCTAGAATTCTCATTATACTACACCCACCTTCTCTTTGAATACTATCTAGTCATTTTTGTTTGTGCTCTGGCTTTTGCTGCGTCTTCCCATCTACATTCACTTGCATACGCATGTGACAATGCAACTCTCTTGTGGTATTTTGAATCCATCGTTCATATTCAAATGTTTAGTTGTGGTATTCTTGGTTAGGTCCGTATCAAGATTCAAATATTTATTTCTTCTCTCTCTACATGCCACAGTAAGAAAAGAGACAAAGACGGCATTATTACAGTCACAAAGGGGCCATACGGGACAAAGACAAGACACACACCGAAGACACCACCACCATAATATCACCTTGAAATCGCAGCACTCAGTGTTTTGGTCGTCTCAGGTATATTTAATCATTTATTATTCAGTCAACTTCCTCCATATTGGGCTCCTCATTCCCTTCTTCCTTCAACGCAGCAGGCATCTCAACATCATCGTCGCCACCGGTCTCTTTGAGCCTTGAGGTAGAGAGTAATTTTGGTTCCTCTTCCCAGGGGGTCACCGTTCACATCCCTAGTGACAGTGAAAGAACCATCGGCTTGAGACTCCCAGACATACTGAGTAAAACCCCACACCGAGCTGACCGATCATGCTTACGTCTGCTCCTACTTGTATTGCCTCCATGAACTCCTTCGTTCCCGACCTTGCGATCGTTCCCAAATTGTTGACCAGATCTATTATATAACGCAGAAGCAAAAGCCATCCCGTCAAAAAAAGAAAAGAAAGAAAACGAATGAAAGCTACGATCTTTGGGATATGAAACAGTAAAATCCTGTCGATGATGGACAAGGTGTTGTTGGTTTTGTCGGGGAGAAGCCGGATGAAGAGATCGAGCTTGCTTCTGTATGTTAAGCTCTCGAATCGGATTTTGGCCAAAGCCTGCGATATACCCAATGACCTCCAGCCCCATTTCAGAAGAAATACACGAACATCAGAGGAGTTGCTGGTGAGTTCACGGAGGAAGATCTCTCTGTTGCTGATTGATCTCTGCTTGGAATGCGAATGTCTCCTTCTCAACACCCGCCATTGCTGCACCTTTCGAGCTCTTCTTCCCCTTTATTTTTTTCAATTGGATGCCTCAGATTAAGACCTCAGATGGGCTTCGATTACTGGAGAATTCTTGAGTGTGTGTGTGTGTGTGTGTTTGTTCGTTAGGTGAGGAGAAGGATCAGTAAATTTACTGTGGGGTTAATATTGGCAATTAAGGGAGAATTTCGGAAAATCGTACACTTGCTTCTGAAAATATCATCTCTAGAGTTTGATGTCTCGTTATTTAAATTAACGTTACAATTTAAAACATATGCTAAATGTATAAAATACAGTGAAAAATCTATAATTTTCAGTAAAAGAAACACTCTATTTGGAGAAGAAGCTTCGGATTTTGATGATAATTTTCAACGTCAGCAAGATGAACTCTGCCACTAAGTTCAATAGCTTCAGGTAGCCTTCCATTATATTTTTTACAAACGGCGCGAAAATCAGACCATATATTCTCAATATCACTTGGATTATAGCATATGGTTTCTCCAAAAACCCTGCAAATGTCCAATTTTATAGGAAAAGAATAGTCACTATAACATGTATAAGAGCTGCATTGTGATATTGAAATAGTATATTTATTTAATTTTTATTTGTTTGTATTAAAAAAACTATAAAACTTACATTCAGCTGCTTTTGGGAATTCGTCAAAGAGGAATGTTATGTTCTTCAAAAGGGTCTGAAAAAACATTTTCAGAACAACAATGAAAATGAAAAACAAAACTTATAACAATAATACGAAAAAACTTTCAATTTTGCATGATATTCTTAGAAAATTACAAGCTTACCAGAACAATCCCTCCTGGTTTGATCGGCGATTCAATTAAAATCCTTGCATTCCTGATAACATAGTGACAAAATTCATGTGTATGTATATATATATAATCTTATATTATTTAGATAATTTCAGAGATTATAGTTATAGATGTTACCTTATAACCATTTCTCCACCTTCTTCTGCGAATTCGTAGAAACTACATCCTCTTGTAAAGGGAATATTTCGCCCTTTCCATTCTTCCAACATCACATAACAGTCGTAATTGTTAAAGTGAACCAACACATTAATAATTGGACACGTGCTACTTTTAGTTGGGGAAATTATAAAATCTGATTAAATAATTTGGCAATTGTTTTTTTTTTGTTAAATATAAAAAAATGACGGTTTACAGATATACCAACCAAGGTGCCAATTCACAGCAGCCGTATATCCGTCTCCTTCGCAAACATTTTCCACACAGAACTTCACGTTTTGTCCCATACTCGTGACGAGTTGTTCATAGAATTTCATAGTTTCCTGCGATATGAACGTAAATTCATATCGTCATTCTTCATATATATATATATATATATATACGCACATATAAAAAGCATGCAGAAATGTGTATATGCATATGTGTAAAACATATAACTAAATTAATACATAAATATTACGTTCATATACACATATAACTGAGTATATAACTATATACATGTATAGGTGTATATAGGAATCTTACCCGCTTTCCTCGGAAAGGTTTGGGGAAGGAGAAATCATCGATATAGCAGTCGTGGGCGAAACAATTGCGCAATAGATCTTGATTCTTATTGTTGATAGACGAATAAAACTTCATAACCACATCGTACCCTGAAACCGGACTCGACCCATGATGTTTTTCTCCCAAAGATGAAACCACTAAACCGGAATTTTCCCGGCCGGTTCTGCATGTTGCTGCGTACGTACACTTGGTCTTTCTTTGAACCGGTTTGGACCGGGGAAATCTCTTCAAAGCCAAACCGGGTTCAAATCGGAGGCTTCTGTTGTTTAGGGTTTGGATGATAGATCGACCGGAAAATTCGACAGTGGAGGCCATATCACGATTTAGGGGTTGGGTAAAGAATATTGTGATTTGTCTTATTTAAATGTGTGAAAATGTTATGCAAGGTTCTTTTCTTCTTGTTTTAACCTTAATATTCTTTAATTGCCTTGATCTGCAAGAAATTCCAACTTTGGGTTTTTAACCGGTTTAATTGATTCTCTATATATACCATTAGTCCTGATTGGTTTTGTTCGGTTTATGCACATGATATATTACCCAAAAATAATTTTTAAAAAAAAACATTCCGGCAATCGAAATCTAATTTCCCGTCTAATTCAAGGATGGCTCTGTTTTTTTTTTAAAAAAAAAATTGAAAAATAAAGAGGAAGAAAATGAAAAATTTCTCCACGCGCGCCAATGTGTCAAATAAGCTATTTCTGCCGATTTCTGTGGACTAGTCCACGATATTAGGGATGTGGAAACCACGCGCATCATCTGCGCGTGCTTATTTATTTAATAATTGGGTTTCGTCATATCTAGGTCTGAGCTTGGATTTTAAATAAGCTTCATCTCGTAGGCCCGTTTGTTTTTATTTTTACCCAATTTAGGCCCATTACGCCCACGCAATTATTCTACCTCAACGAATTTTCTACGGATTAGAATTTTAAAAAAAATCCATACGGACCAAATTGAAAATATGTAATCAACTTAACCTATGGTTTTTTATATATTTTTTCACAATAAAATAGGCATTATATCAAAAATATCATTATTTTGCTATTTTTACTTCATTTACCTTTCTCTAACTATGACCCAAAATATAGTGCGGTCACATTTTGATTTTATTGATTATAATGTTAAATTATGGTGATCATACTAATTCATTATGTTCATACCTTGTATATTTTACTATTCATTTGATTAAAACATCATAAATTTAAGTTATGAGTAATCAATACGTGATCACACTATATTTTTGATCACATGATCACAGTTAGAAGAAGGATACGTGTTGAAGTCAAAGTAGTAAATTAAGAGTATTTTGTATAATGGCCCAAATAAACCTATGTTTTTTTAAACTCTCTCCTCCAAGGTTTATGGCCTATGAGAGACCATACAGTGAGTATGTACGTATATGCAGAGGATATACTCCAAGATATTGGACCACGTGAATGATATATCGAAAGACGTGGGCCAATCACTTACACCATATGCCTTTCCTCATTAATCACACACACCTTCTGGACCATATTCCGGTAATATTTAAATCTCAATAAAAGCACAAATTTCTCAAATATCGACCAATAAAAAAATTCCATAATTTCTACAAATTTTACGCCGTGACATGGGTAAGTTTTTGTAACGATAAAATTATTTTCAAAACAAAAAATAATTCATTGAAAATAGATAACCGAAAAACTAAACCATCCACTTCAAAAAGAAACCAAAAAGAAGGTTGTACGGTCATATCTATGTACCCCCCGCCCAATCAAATTTGACTATCAATTTTCAAAACCGATGTCGGTTATCTAATCGAACCGGTCGATAACCGATTCGGTCTAGTCTAATACTTTTGAAGAAAAACTTTAAAATTCGATCCAACCATAATTAAACAATGTCATGAAGCAATTGAGCGCCGATCAAGTTCCTGTAAGGCAAATTCTGGCTTTCATCACCATCCAACATCGCAGTCGAATATTGGACCGACCCTTGTTGGCAATCTCCGTAGAAAAGTGAAGCCGCCGGCGAGAATGCTAAACTCACGCCGCTGTTACCGTTGTGACGCTGCAACCCCAGCGTCAAAGACACGCCACGTGTCCCTTCCTCGAGGCCCTGGTTGGAGCTGTCACCGGCATACGTCACAGCCTGGTGACCGTACGATGAAAAGTCAAAAGTTGACCCGAACGGCGTCGCTCCTTGCCGGTGGCTCTGTGAGATTTTAGTATTAGGGTTTGTGATCATATACGAGAGAGATTCCGGGTCGACCCGGATCATCGGGTTCGGTTCGGGTTTCGGGTCGGTTAACATGACGTTTTCTTGGCGGTTGATGATGTTGCCGTTTCGTTCTCCTCTTGTTTCTTCTGAGTACATCTCTTCAATCATCGGCTTCCACAGTCTAACTCTTGCATTGATGAACCAATTCGATACCTACACCGACATTTTCGACATGTTGAGCCAAAAGGGTATCGATTATTTAATCGTATCATTCACAAATCTCATGTATTTTCTGTGTGAGAGAATAGATGAAATTACTCGTACCTGGCTTCTCGAGAGACCGGTTTGACGTGCTAATATGTGCTTATCGACATCGCTCGGATATCTGGCAAACAATTGGATTATATATTACAAAAAAAAACTCGAAATTTTTATCTAAAAAAATTAGATAAAAAAGAATCGATTTCCATGGAAATTTTTTTCCCACGAATATGTTATATTGAATATATATAAAAAAATATTGTGTTGAGGCTTTTGTATGAAAGCAATGATTTTCAAGCAGCATAACTAGTTTGGCAATAATGTCCTTTTTGTTATTTTGAGAAAAAAAATGATGATTGAAGAATAATAAATGCATATATATATATATATATATATATATATATATATATATATGTAATAATAGAAGTGTTTGGTAGAAACTAACAAAATGTTTTTGATGTTTGGGCGATGTTAGGGAAATGATGGAGACAAGTCAAAAAAACACATTATACAGAAGCAGGAACTAAAGTAATAATGTAGTTAGTTATGAACCACTAGAAATACTATCTTTTTTTTTTTGGTAAAAATGTAAACTAGAAATAATATTTTAACAAAAAAAAAAACTACTAGAAATAATAAATATTTTTCTTAAAAAAATAACAAGGTGGGGAAAGAACATTGATTCCCTCTCTATATCGACTTTGTTCTCTTCTCTATTTATGTCTTTCATTTCACCCACCCCTATCTGTACAATCTCTATAAGAAAAAATTTCACAAAATCATTTATTATTATTATTATATATATATAGTCTATATGTATTTGTACATCTGTTTGTACACAAAACTTTCAGACCAATGATGCAATAGCGAAGAAAGCTATGCAATTATGAGAATGAAGGATATGTCCTGTTCTTGTCTTGTCAACCTCAATATCTTTTCATCGTCCTCAAAAATTATCTAACCTATATCTATATCTATATATATATATATATTCCACCTATAGATAAATGCGAATATATTATAAAAGTTGAAAAAAATTACTTGCTTACATATATATATATATATGTAAAAAATATGTTAAGTGTAGGGACGTATATATTATATGAAATGACTTACGGGTTAAGAAAATGTTCGAAAAGCCAAGCCCTCAGGATTGAAACCGCGTTTTCAGGCAAACCGCGCTGCGGCCGCCAAGGATGAGCCTCCACTAGACTCAGTTGGCGGTACACTTTCTGCTGCCGAAACGCCTGATCTAGCAAACGCAAACGCGGCGTTTCACCACGTGTCGTCCCAGGAGCCACCGGATCTTGTCTCTCCCCCATCGCCTCAATCTGACCCACCACGCAGTCCCTCAGGCACCGGAAATGCCTCGACATCGCCTTTGCCGCTAACGCGGTGTACGTTTCGGCCGCTCCGATTCCGGCAGCGGCCTCAAACGCAGCCACGGCCGCTCTCATCTGGTCGCGGTAGTGGCGGTATCTCCTGTCAATCTACACCGTTGGTTTCATATCGAGAATCAGCGATCACAATTCACACCCGTGTGTGTGTATGTATATATATACATATATGTTTATCAACAAGAGAAAAAATTGTTTTGATGATATTGATTGCTATTAATATGGGAGGTCCCCAAAGTCACAGATTTAGGTCAAAGCAAAAAAAATTTAAAGGAGGAACAAAATCACTTATTGATCAATTTTAATGGCGAAACGAAGGATAACAATTTTTTAAAAAATATGTTCTTTTTGTTTATACAAGAGATGTGGGTGACGATCATGTTTAGGTTTTCGAAACGAACAAAAAGAAAGGGTCCAATTTCGATCCAGCAAGTAGTTTGTTCGTTCTCACGTTAAAAAAATGAAACTTTTTAATTACAATATACTTAAATTTACATCTTGTATTTGTACATATATTGAACAGAATTTTCTTTGGTTGGAAGTTCTCTCTTATTATCAATCGAAAAAGATAGATATCTGAATGACCCATGAAATTTTTTGAGTTATAGAGAAGTGTATAATCATACATATACATGTATATATGTATATACATATGCCTTTTGTGGTTGTGTACCTCGTCAAGCATGGAGAGTAACTTGGCTTTTCTCTTCTGCAGTTCCATGAACTCAAGAGAGTGAAGTGGTGGAACATGTTTTCTTGAAGAAGCACTTGCTGACGCATCATGATTATCCTTGTTATCATTACCCTCCCACTGTTTTAGCTGTTGCTTTACCTTTTGGTTCTTCTGCTTCATCACCATCGTGATGATCGCTTCATCACTTTCTTTGGTTCCGAGGCTGCAAAACTCATTAAGAATCTCATGGGCGGGAATCAGATACTTTGATCTCAAAATCTGGAACTGATCCTGGTGATGATGATGATGGCTGTTGTTGTTCATCACCATCTGGGTATGCTGGAGATTATTGTGAGTTTTCCCAAAATACCCTTGTCGTGCGGTATGTGGTCTGAGTTCAAAGGAATGGAGACTGATGCTTGTAGGGTTGGATGAGGAGAGAGAAAGGGAAAGGCCTTGGCTTGGTCTTGTTCTCGTTGTTGTTGTTGTTGTTAGTCTCTCTTCATTCACTTCACATGGGAGATTAACAACATTACAGCATCTCATGGAGGACGTAGAATCTTCTAGAAGCAGATTCTCACCTCCACTTGTCTCCTCAACCCCACTCGTCACGCTAATCCTCTGATGTTGATGATGCTGTTGCCGCTTGGAGAAGTCTATCAAGCCCGTCTTTGTGTTCAAGCTGAAGATCTGATCATGATTATGATGAGGGTGATGGTGATGATTGGATGGGTTCATGTCATCAAACCCATGGATGTGATGAATCATCTCACTCTGATGATGAAGACGATGGTGCGTATTAATGTTTGTTGTTGGGTTAGCGGTAGACAAAATCTCTCCAGAAGCAGAGAAATCCCTCGCCATGTCTTCGGAACAACCGATAGATTGTTAAAAAAAAAAACACTCCTTTTTTTTTTTTTGCTACAAAGAGGAGTTCATCAAAGATCTGCAAGAGAACTCATCTCCTGAAAAAGGCGGAAAAGAGACAACAAACAAAATAAAAAAGCAAACTTTTTTGAAACCCAGAGGCTCCAAATCATGGGGGATATAGAAGAAAGAATCAAGCTTGGTTCATTGCACGCATTAGCTCCCAAAGCCCTTCAGCAAGTTAAGACAAAAGACATATGCTCTTTTTTCCACCTTATTCTTTGGTGACAATGGAGAGAATAGGAGCGAGAAGTAGAAGACGAAGACGAAGAAGAAAAGGGCCAATGAGGGAGAGAGGGAGAGAGAGAGGAAGAGGGGAAAAAGAGATTGTGTGGCTTTTCCTCTCTCAATTGTTTTGTACTTGAAAATTCAAAAAAAAAAAAAAAGGAATCTTAATAATTAAACCAACATGGATTTTCCAATATTGTACCATGGACAACAAAAAAAAAACTATTTAAAAAGAAAATGGGAAATAAGGTAAATGAAATTGGAAAATAAACCTAGGAAGAGAAAAGATCAGATGGGTATCTCTCTCTTCAGAAAACAGAAGCGAGCAGATGAGAGGTGATCATGACCTCCCTCCACTAATCTACATGAGATCAAACTCTCTCTCTCTCTCTCTCTCTCTACCCCCACAAGTGGGTCAAATACGTAATTTACTGTCTTCCAAAATGTAAAATATTGATTATATCTATGGTTATATCGTTACAATCATAATTATAATTCAACTGTCTACATATTCTTCCTCGATTCAAAACGGTTTCTACGTTGGTGGTACGTACGTAGGGAATCGATCGCTAATTGTTTTGTGCATGTAATCTTGATTCTATATGCCAAAAAAGTGTAATTCGGATATCCATTCATATAAAGGGAAGGGCATAAAAAAAACGAAATAATATAGTTACAAAACGTCTATATAGTATAATTATTGAGCTGATTTGAGCACTTTAGGGTGGATATAAATATAGAAGGATATTATTGTACCTTCAATACGTATAATTAGGGTTAATACTTGTATAAATAACCCTAATTATATAACCATAGGAGAGTTATTTATACAAGTACTAACCCTAATTATATGTATTGAAGGTATACAATAATATCCTTCTATAATAAAAATCCCAACAGCGTTATATACGTGTCTCCACCAAACCCTTTTTTTTCTTCCTCAATAATTTCGAGGACCCAATAGTTGGGAAATCACGAAAGCGTTGAGAAAATTCAAAATGATATATATGTGTAATGTATGTATGGTCCTACGTATTGAATTTCGTAAAAAAACAACAAAAAACACATGCATGTATGTGTATGTATACATATATGGTCCTACGTATTGAATTTCGTGAAAAACAATGGAAAACACATGTATACGAGTATGACCCAACAGATCGTGGCCGAGTGGTCAAGCTTGGGGTAGGAGGTAACTCTACCTTGAAGTTAAGTGTTCGATTCCTGGCTGGTGGGGAGGGAGGTAATTTCTGGATTTATATGACCAAATATACAAAGGCTGCTCTCGGGCCGGAGGTTTACCTAATCAGTGCCCGAAAGGTAGCAGTTAGGGACCATCCGTTATAAAAAAAATATATACGAGTATGGTCGCACAAACATGTACGCTGTGTGTGTATATACATGCCATCTGTAACTATGTACTAACGTTGATATTTCTTTATATAAAGGCTGATCTCGGGTCTAGATGGATGTAGTCGGACCGAAGGACCGGGGAACCATCCTGGTTATAAAAAAAAAACGTTGATATTTCTTTAACTCGTGCAAGCAACCATGCATATATATATTATTTTTGTTTTATGTTGATATAAAGGCGCGGGTGTTCCTCGAGTAGTTTCAATCCATGAAATCGATTTTTGTGTATTTTTAATCCCCTCGGCCTCTTGGTTGAATAAAACCATTTTTCATATATATTTTTACATACAAAAAAAAATTAACAATATATTTGACTAACGACAACAACAATATAGTAATATAGTAACAATTTATTGTCCGCTTACCCGTGAGGTAATAAATAATAATGCGTTTTGTTTGGAACCATCTCTTTCTTATATATATGCTGCATTTTAATTAATACAAATAATATTTTATAAAAAAACTATTTTATTATTCTTGAGAAAAACTCCACATAAAATATAGTATTTAAGTCCGAGCTTTAAAACTGGGGTTTTAACCTCGAAAATTCGTATAGAATAATAACCAGATCTAACATATGACCTAGATCCCATATAACTAAATCATATTAAAATATAACTTATTTAAAATATACAAATACCCATTACCAAAAGAATATGGAAAAGTTATTATCGAAATACTAATATAATAATCTAAAGACTGAAAGGTACTAATTGAATTTTTATAAAAATATATAGAGTTAATATTAATTTTATATATGAATAGGTTAACATAATTAAAGGTAATTTTAATATAATGCTAGTAGTAACATGTAAGACGCTGAAAAATAAATAAATGAAGGATGTGAATCCCGAGAAAATCAAAACCGGAAGTGGAAATTGAGTTCAGGCTTTTCTCAGATGTGTCTCAGCTTCTTCTGTTTTTTTTTTCACTTCGCTGGCAGCCTCATTTTCTTTTTTCTTTTTTTATATTAAAAATTTCCATTTCTCAATCACTTAATCAGAATTAATAACCGTTATTAATAACAATATCGATATTAATGGCGAGAAAAAAATTAACATCACAAGTTTATTCAGGAAAAAACAAATCATAAAATTTACTTTAGTTACAGCGAAAGATTTTTATTGAAGGGTAGAAATAGCATATTTTTAGATTAATTAATTATATATTTATTTATATATTTATCAATTTTTATTTGATATTACGACCTGTTATTTTAGGATAATATTGATTAGTAAACATCAAGCCAACTTGTAAAGACTACACAAGAGACGTATACAAGAGACAAAAGGAGCTTACTTTGCTTTGTTGAATATTGATGGATAAAAACTTCTCTAATTAAATAAATATCACGTATCATATATATAACATATATTTGACTATAATTCATAATCAATTATATTCCCGAAATTTATCAGCTAGAGAATACTATATTTTATTTATTTTTTGTAAAAAAATCAAACTAATTAGCACCACATATATGGATTGTAATTTTATAACTCTAATAGAGTATACACAACCACATTAAAAAAACCGTGTAAGTCCATGTTTAAATTTTATTATGATTCATAAACTCCTCATATAGAAAAATTTTATAACTTGTGTGCCTCAATATATAGTTACATTCGAAATTGATATGTGAATTACAACAAATAGTTATAAGTAAATGTGATATATATATATATATGTTTAATTTGTATGTGATATATGTGTGTGTGAGAGAGAGAACACATGTAATCGCATGGAAAATGAGTTGTATAAGTTAATGAGTAGGAATAGATGCATTTCAAGAATTGTTCCCAAGTTGCGGGATGAGATAAGGTGATGAAGTGGTCCTCCAATTTATTTATTTTTGTTTCGACACTCCTTGGAAAATTGCATTTATTTCATCTCTTAATTATTATATGGAACCATATATTATTTTTTTCCCATTTTTATTTACGATATTTAATAATAATAATTAACGGTATAAATGATGAAAGATGTCCTCTCTCACCCGCCAAAACATAGTGGCTTTCAAATAACTCTTTTCTTTATTGTGGAAAAAAAAATATACGCATATCAATTGCATTAAAGCGGAGTGGTCCAAATCCAATAACATAAGCCTCGATCTACTCTACACCGTTTTCATGAATTACCGAAACTAGCCCTATCAGCACGGATGACGTCATCACTCCAAAACCCTAATGGAGCGTTGAAATATTTGGACATTAATTAATACGAGGAGCTCTAACAGTGAAAATATATTAATACATATCTTTGATTGCAATTAATTTCACCGCATCCTTCGATCATACAATCCGATTGAAATCACCCGAGGTATATATATGTATATATATAAAACATATATCCCTGAAAGCACGTGCCTTTGTTTGGGCTTTGAACCTTTGATGCATAATTAATCAACCATTATTACACCAATGATTTACTATATCAATTGTCAAAATTTTAACATTTATGCATACCAAACAAAAGTTAGATTTGAGCATAGTCTTTTATAATTATTGGTCCAATATCCAACGATCCATGTATTCCTAATACGTATACATATGCGGACATTAACATGAAATATGATTATAACAAAAACTAATTAATAATCATATTCTTAAAAAAAATACAAAAAGATGAGACAACAGGGGAATCAAAAACAATGTGAAGAAATAGGAAAAAGGGTAAATTCCGAGAGATCTGATGAATGTCGGAGACAGAACACTCTTTTAAGCGCCTTAGGTTTTGTTCTTGAAACTTGGAACTACACACACAACGACAACTGATCTCACTCTCTGTTTTTGTACGTTTTTACAGAGATGCTCTAGTGTGGTCCCCACATTTCACATTTATAAAATAGGTGCATGTGTCTGTGTTAATAACATACGTACAAACATGCACATATATATATATATATATATATATTACCTTAGCTATATTTATAGTGGGCTATATATGTAGCCAAGTCATTGCTGTTGAAGGAATTAAAATCCATATACAGTTTACATTAAGCTTTTTCCCTGCGTGCTTTGACTATATATATATATATATATATATATATATATATATATATATTATGTTTAAGAATT